CTCTTCAGAAACTTCTCCAATTACATTTAACTGTATAGAATTGATATAGATATTTGAAGATTCTTCTTTATTACTTAGTTTAAAATTAGTGATATTCATATCACAATTTTCATATATCTTTTCCTTATCAGAAAAACATTTATTTTCCAAGAATATCACATATTGACAATTTGTCAATTTTTCCTTTTTTTTTCAAGGTCAAATAATCTACTCTTTGGTATTTTCACAGTATTCTACAATAAAAAATATAAAAAAGAAATAGATGCGTTTTTCCTTTGGCGTCCCATTTATTTCTCTGATTTTTGGGAATGTGCACGTATGCCAAACAGCAAAATACTTTCAAATGACTAAGATTCACTTTCTTGCCAGTCCATAATTCTTCTGGCGTCTTTCCTTTAATAACTTTCTGAGGAGAACGATTTTTAAGATAGACCGCAGTGTTTACTGCCTTTGTCCACATCTTCTGATCCGAACCGGCGTCTTGCATCATACAACGTGCTTTTTCCACAATTGTGCGATTTGTCTTCTCAGCAACACCATTCTGTTCTGGTGTATATGGAACCGTTAAAAGAACAATGTTCAGTCAAGTACATATAAATAAAGAAAAGTAGTATAAGCTTAATTTAATGCATATTAAAAAAATTTTTTTCTTAAAGTCGAGTAGCAAGTTCATATAGGTCGATCTCACATAATTTGAATATATATTCGCTATTCTCTGTTACTTTGTCCAGCTCGCTACTCAATATTTATTCTTTTTTTTGGTTTTTAGATCCCCACATGTAGCCTATGCCGAAGATGGTGGCGACGCTGGCGACGCCGGCGACGCCGGCGACGCCCAAGGCTCCCAAGAGACAGGCATCAACAAAATGCATGCAATTGGCAACAATCCAGGCTTCTGGCTCTGCAGATCTTTGGCCAGTCGGTGGTGGAACATTATACCTAAAAAAAGAACACCATATTTTTACTAATTAATACTTATTCTATATTATTTAACGTAATATTTATAATCTTCGCAATTTTGAGAAAAAGTATAAGTTATACCGGGTTGGATGCTCTGCAGTACCACCTATAAAAGTTGGTATGACTTGAGCTGGGTTTACGGCATTCCGGCATATTGGACAAACCTGCTTCTTCTTTAACCATTGATGTAGACATGGCCAGCTACATTATTATTATTTATATTATTCAAATCATAGATAATATTTCATTCCTTGATGTGCTACGTCATTATCAAATAAATACTTACCAGCACACATGACCGCACTGAGTGCTTACTGCATCTTTTACTTCATCATCACATATTATGCATTTATATACGCCATTCTTATAGCTTGCGCATTGCGAACTTGGACCCGGTTGTTGTTCTTCTGTCATCTTTCAAAAATATCCATATATTAAAAATTTTACAAATACTTTTACGTTTTAAAATGTATAAAATAATCTTTTAACGCATTAATACAATTTTGAAATAACTTGCATATATAGTTAATTACATTCTTATATTATAGTTATAATTTATACAACAAATGTATGTGACGCGCATAATGTCGAGGGAGTGTATTCTGAACAAGCGGACTATACACAGCTTGACAGTCGACTTCGTGTTGTGTGGGTATTGTTGCCCGAGGACCTGTCAACAATAGGCCGTACGGATACGCATTTATTCGTATTTATTCTGAACAATTACTCTATATGGCCCGACAATATTTAACAATTTTTTGTATGTTCCACATTGTATGTTCGTACGGAAATACTGCATTGCTTCGAGAGCAAGAAATCGCGTTCGAAATAAAAGACTGCATATTATTATATACAGTCTTTTATTTCGAACGCGATTTCTTGCTCTCGAAGCAATTAGCGACGTCGAGAGGATTTCTTAAATGCACAGGGAAACACAGGGAAAGCAAGCGATTTTTCATGAAGTCCGCGAGCGACGAACAGTTTGAATGAGACGAAAAAAAGTCCCGAAAATTCGCGGGCTTTGAGCTGAACTTTGTCACATATAACCGCGACAATAATTCGCAAGCAGCTGATAATTTTGATTGCAAATATTTATGGGACGAATTCTTATGCAAGTACGTTAGAAATGTTAGAATTCTATATTGAAAATGATCTTTCTTTTGAAGCGCAGAGCGGCACAAGTCAGTTATACTTACACTTACCTCATCGAATCTCCACCTCAACGTCCTCAACTGATCGGTCCACTCCCACACTGATCCTTTTATAGTGGTGACTCACTGCTGTTCCAGAACGTTCTAGAACACCTAGACTGTTTGGGGGGATTCTGAGAGAAACCCAAGATAAAGAGCTCATATTGACACTTTTTAGCAATAGCTGTATCAGCTGTATGATCAAATGCATAAAAGATATTACCACAGTATTACACTAATTAGACAGATGGCACTGATCCTCCTTAATGGATGATGCAATTCTCTAGCGACCCGAGTCGCTGCGCTCGCCGATATAACCTACAAAGATTGCGGTGTAGTGCAGAAAACGATAAAAGAAAAAGCTTAAAAGTAAAGAAGAGCATAATTTTGATAACATTTCCCAAAATTGCTTTGATTTGTTGAATACGAAATGTTATTTGCAATCGAGAGATACACGATTTGTGCGAGTGCGCGTTATTTGCGGCGATGTTTCACAAACAGCGTTGACACTTCGGCAAACGAGTTTCCGCGAAACTTTGCTCAACAATCCAACGAGAGTCGATACGTCCTGAAGCCCAAAAATCTTTAAGGATCGCTTTTCTGGGCGCACCGAATACTGGAGAAAGCACCCTCGTTAATCTTGTTAAAAGATCGGTAATTATTTTATTTGTACGTTTTATATAAATTAAATTATAT